CTCAGTAACATGGAACAACCAACAAATATATAGCTGTACAGACATCAAGTACTTCATAGACTAGACAATGTACAGTGTATACATAACACACAGTCTCAGTAACATGGAACAACCAACAAATATATAGCTGTACAGACATCAAGTACTTCATAGTCTAGACAATGTACAGTGTATACATAACACACAGCCTCAGTAACATGGAACAACCAACAAATATATAGCTGTACAGACATCAAGTACTTCATAGACTAGACAATGTACAGTGAATACATAAAACACATCCTTGTCTATAAAAAAATGTGCATGAACGGAAAATCTCTGAGAGATTGACTTCCACTTATATTTTTCATAACATTTCCGATAGTCCTTTGAGGAAACTGCTCAAATTAAACCTACCTGGGTCTTCTCTCATGCGTGTGACAAGGAATGAATCGTTTTCTTCATCAGATTCGTCAGACCAGGCTGTCTGTCGGGATACAAATAAAATGCAGTGTGAAAAATTGTCTCCTGTATCATACAGCTGTGATTACAAACAGTGACTGTGTGCTATATTTTGTATAGATCAAACATGTGCCATCAAGATTTTATGGCAAAAACTAAGTGTAAAAACAGAGTCTGAAGGACCATTTTTGAAAAGGAATTCACAGGCTTGATAACCAACAGTGACTGGCTTACCTCGTACAGCCTCGACTTTGTGGTTCCTTTGTTTCCTACTCCGATTTTACTCGACTGCATCAACTTGGCAAACTCACTGAAAGTAGGAATCAAAGTTCAATGTGTTAACCACACAGCTGATGTAAATCAAATTACCAGACCTGCAGTAAAACCTTTTCATACTCTCGCCATTAGTCTAGCAAACATTTGTCATTGAGAGGTTTTGTCATATGTAAAAATTGAGAAAGATCCCTCCAGTAACTTCTGAGAAATAGCATTCACTAGAATTGTAAAAGGACGGACAGACAGAAAGATTGACCACAGAAGAAGGGTGATTTGAATAGCCAACCATCAGATGATTGTAGGCTTAAAATATGGAAACCTGAGGTATGAGATGATATGACTTTGAATCAGGGTCAATGGATGAATTAATATAGGCCAAACCCCAGCAAGCTTTATAACAAATACCATTTCTCTTGGCATTGTGGTTCTTTAGAAATTGATAATAGAGACAATGAAGGCAGCATCGTGATATTACTATTAGCTCACAGAAACTTTGTGCCAGATGATAGGACTTTAAAATATGTAGACTATAAGGAAGGCCTTAATTGAAATGAAAAGTATTTCACTGAGGTAAGCCTTGGGAGACAAAATATACAAAAAGTGAAAAATATAATATTTTTAGTTGGTAGTGAGTGTATTTGTCTCTTTCTGTTGTTCTTTCACTTTAATAGTGATAATAGTTTGCTGATCTTGTTGTACCTAATAATTGGATGAGGATGATTAATGTGTTACATACCAGGCATCAGTTTTTACAAAAGTGCAAGGGTATAAATTGTCTTTACAATATGTATATCACTTTCAATATTTATGTAGATAACAGTTTGGATGGCTACTATAACACAGGTGATTTGTTAACAAAACGTCAATACTTTGGACACTTCTTCAGCATTGGGTCCAGATGTTTCTTGTCTCCACTTGGTGGTCTGCATGCTTTCTTCCTACGCTGTCTGTCCAATGAGCGCCTTCGTTGGACCACCGTTGATTGTTCTGTGTCTATCTTGCGGACAAAGATACGAAGAAGATGTGTGCCAGCATGGTAAATCCTATCTTTGACATTGGCATGCTGTAGGATGATTCTCATTACGATGTTGATACCTATATAAGAAGACCACAAAACACCTGATTTGTCTGACGCTAATTTCAGTTATGCTGAATACAGTATATGGTGTTGTGATGGACATGATCATCGTAGAATGAAACATATTTAAACAGGTGTGTTTAGCAATGTGAGGTTCAACTGTATTAAACAGGAAAAGTAAACATTAAATTTAATTGTACATGTATAGTTAACGTCATAGGGATATAAGAGCCAGATGATGTTTAGTTAAGACAGATATCACTGTATTTATCTGTGATAGTTTCTTTATTCTTTTAACATGATTTAAATCTTCTGCAAATAAAAAAAACAAAATGATAAAATATAATGATAATGTGTTTTCCTGCCCTTGTTTCAATATTGAGTTACCTTCGTGGTGGTAGAATTTCTCTCTGGTCGTGTCATTCTTAAAGAGAACATTACACAGACCGTTCAGGCTTGCAACAAGCAGTTCTTCTTGGGTGTTAGGAGGATAGTCCTTGAATTTGGACATGTTGTCTAGCAAATATAAATAAACAACCCATTACCAGTTTCTGATTGTGTAGATACAGCCTATCATAGCAAGTCAAATAGACCAGACCAGACTCAATTTTCTCCCCTTGAGAAATAAAACAGGGTTTCAATAATGCATTTATTAGCTGTGTATTACATGTACAGGTACTTGCACTGAAGCCATAATTTTTTCAAATGTTACAACATAATTAATGATGTGTTCTTATTTTTCTTTTCTTTATGCAAGTGCATGCATTTCAAATATATGGAGTTTGGTGGTCTTATTTTTAAAGGGGAAATTCTTGATTTTGATTTAATGCAAAACAAGTAATTAAAAACATCAACAAAACAATCTTCAGTTTTCCACTAAATTTTCGGATTACCTTATCCATGCCTCGTCTAGGATTGACTCTATTAGTACTGCTCCAGTAACAGGTTTGTTGTAACTTACCGAGAATACATTCAGTGAGGTTGCTACATGAGATGCTGGAGGACATCTTGCAATGGAAGGAGATGATTGTGATCAGTGTCAGAACAGGGATGATAGTTCCTGGGTCAGGACAATGACGTATAAATTTCTCCAAGATTTCTAGTCCACCATGCTGAGCTAAAATCTCACCTGACATTAAACAAATACAATCAAATGACTTCTTTCCTCAGCAGAGTGACAATCTTTAAAGTCCTAACAACCATTCATTTGGTATATTGCACAGCAAATTTTTTTCATTAACAATTAAAAAAAATATAATAGCAAATATCTAATAGATAACATATATTACTGGAGAATAAGCAAAATGAAGTTTTATAATCTTCAAATGTGTAGATGAAATTCAAACATACATGAACGAGAAAATAACATTCATGAGTTACTTCTTCTTAAAGTATTTAACCCCATGGATACAAACTTTCTAAAATATAATTATCTGTGAAAAAAAAACCCAACAAAATGCTTGCTTGCTAATTTTCTGGATAAACAAGAAAGACATACTCATCGAAATTGATAAAAGATTTTGTCATTTGAGTTTTCAAAAATTAAAGTTATCTCATCCAGACAGTTTGTAATGACTGCTATAGGGTTATATGTTGGTTATATACGTGTAACTTACATGCAGGAATACTTTTGTGACAGATGTTACAGAGTATGGAGGCTGCCAGCTGTGGAATTACCTGGTGACGAGGAGGTGCCTCTACTCCTGTTAAAAATACCACATCAGACTATCTAGTTATAACAGTGCAATCTCAGAACAACAGCACACACACAAATAACAAGTGTTCTCCTTCTCCTGTATATCCCCTGAACTAAGACAACTGTATAATGGATGTATACTGTATGACAGGTCCTCTAGCTGTTAGTCTAGTATATCTGTCATACTACTGTACATTCTTTCTTTTCACGCGCAAGTGCAAGTCATAGTCTTGTTTGGAAAGTAATGAAAGGTTGCTACAATGTAACTTCTGTTGTCAAACACACATGTCTTCAAAAATTTGGGAATATAAAACCAAAATATATTTATACTTAGATCATTATAGTTATAAAAGCTTCAATTTTCTGTCTCTAGTGCTGTAAGTGATATTTCAGATTAGTAGTCAAGAATGATTCAAATATTTTGGATCTAATATGAAATTGGCAAAAATGAAAGTGAATTATGAATATATATACATGTAGGTTCTATTCTAATATATTTTGTAGCAATAATACCATACCTGCAAGTCTACACAAGGATATTTGTGGAGGATATTTGTTTGTGCCAATATGATCTGGTATGGCATACACTTGATCATGTGGTAGTTCCATCTCATATCCATAGTCAAGAGCCCAAACTTTGACCTTCCATTGATCGACCTTGATGACCCGGGCACGTATGTAAATCGACAAATCATCAGAATCCAGTACCTTTTTGACAACAACTATGTCACCTGCAATACATTTTGTTGGTCGGAGATTTTCTGTCGCTAAGGCCATCTGTATGTCGCGAACTGTTTCGATGTTTGACATGCCTATGTGTGCCCAAAACAAGGGTCCATCGATGACCTCTGATACAAAAATATCTTTCCATTCTTTCTCATCTTCTTTTTTCTCTTGGATGTCTGCCCTGTTTGGCCAGGAATATTGTTTGAAGTTTTCAAGGAGGTGATCAGTGATATTAACATCCATATCTGAATCACTGGTGTCAAACAATGAACAAGTGTTTAGGTTATCTGGCAACATGTCTAAATATTTTAGCTTCCGATTTGAAAGTTTGTGTACTTCGTAGTGCAATTCTGCAGACATTTGTTTGGTCTGGATCTTCCCAACCAGGTGCCTATTTTCACAAAGCTGCTGAAAAGCTCTTGAAAATTCTGATGTAAAATGATAAATACTTCCTTTGACATCCAACAAATACAGCAAGCGTCTCATGACGTCACCTGATATCATATTTTGCAAGGGTCCTATTGAAAGTTGTGACAGAAACCACAGACATTTCAAAGCTACATCAAGAGAGGCCAGCTCTGACTGGTCATCCAGTGCTGAATCGATAGTCACTAAAACAGAGTCTACAAGTCCATTGTCCAGGAACATTTGTCGGATGTTGCCATTCTTGTCATTCTTCAGGAATTCTTGAATGACTGTTAACGAGGCAAGATGTATGCTGGAACTGTCTTTGACACGGGTAAGGTCCATATGGTACTGGAGCAGACGAGAGGACAATGCCCTCTCGCTCATCTTACTACTCATTTTTATCACTGTGTGGCCTTCTTTTATTCAACACATTCTTCTTCACATCCTGTCATTGAATGTGTTAAACATCTTTTTAATCTGAAAGAAAAAAATGTGAGTTAAATAATTTGATAAGCCTTGTAAGAACAGTATCATGTTTTGGCATATAGTTATTCAAATTCATGAACATAGCAAAATAATTTTCTCTTCTAATTAGTTTTCCCCCTAATCAAATGGAAAAAGGATTTGAACAATGCAAGATTGGTTGAATTATAATTATGCCATGCCCAGATGTTGCAAAGCCTATTTCTCACACTTCTTACAATGTCACAATTAACAATCAAACGGGTGGTATTCATTATTGGCAGATCTAAGAATTTGGTGGTATCAGAACTATTTTTTCTGAAAATAAAAGTGCCAAAATACTGTTTTGATCAATCTTAGATATTTACAAAATCTAGAAACAACATTTTGCCTCCTCCAAAGCAAAAAGTTAAGCTTGGTTTCTATCAAAGCACATTCTTATAAGTTTGAATTTTGATCTACTATTTTTTCTCTCTTTCTTATCTGTCGCATTGAATTATGTAAACCATCAATGCAGCTGCCTTGTGGCAGAACTTCATACTGCTGTATTTGACATTGTCCTTCCATAGTAATGTTTATTTTAATAGCATGAAATATAAATAGTAAGAGATGTGTAATAACTAACAATTAAGACAGATTTTTAATTTATTGCAGTGATATTTTTCTTCTGAGCTGCTTGAAGCTCCAGATAAAATATATGTTAAAATTGGGGGAACAAGAAGAACCTTTTGACGTTTGACATTTGGGAAAGATCTGTAATTTACACTCTTGAGCAATAGTGAGGTGTCTGTCTGCAGTCAGTGGCCATCTTTTTTTCCCAGTCAAGCTGAAAATGTCAAACAACCATGACTAAGAACTAGGTCAGTAGGAAGTCAAGTAAGCCCTTCTAAAGATCCCTCAAGTACTTTCTGAGAAGTTATAAGAGTAATTTTGAAATGGAAAATTTCAAGATGGCTATTTGATAAACAACTTGTTCTTTCTATCAGTCTCAAAATTTAAGATCAATTGTGCACTTCGACAAAATCCAAGACGACTGCCTTTTGGCCATCTTCTTTTTTCATTTAATCTCAAAATAAAACATGCAAAACAAGTGAATCAAGAGGAATCTTTAAATGCAACTTATGACAGATCCCTCAAACACTTATTGAGAAATACATTATTTTAAATTTCTGAAATTGATTAAGAAATCGTTATTTTTAATAGGAGTAACGGTTGGAAAAAAGTGACATGTACATATACGCTAGCGTACAAACTTTTGACAGCATAAGATAAAGCCGCCCTGTTGTTTAATTTCTTCTGGAGCTTTTGTGAAGTTGTTTTCAATATAAAAGTTTGAACAGATATGTTATAAGAACAAATTATATCCTTGTTATAATGCAACATATAATAATTATTTAATGAAAAAGATATAAAGAAATGATTGTATTTGAAATATTTTACATAACGTTATTATGCATATTTAGCAGGAGTCTTCCTGATCACAGGTGCCTGTGTAAAATCCTGATGACATAGTTTGACGAAAGTGATCTCCCCTTAGCACGAGTACGATAGGGAGTAAATTAAACACCCACGATTCGTCTCCCGCGATCACAACAAAGTCAGAATTTTATGTGACAAATTTCGCTTATCTGAAAACAACATGTTATTTATCTCTATATTTCTGATAATATATGAAAAACGGTTTAAAACCGTAATTTTCACGGTTGAGTGCGGCGCACAAGTGTTACCCCCTTGAAATATCACATTATCGTCAATTTCAAAATTTTCAGACGATTTTTAGTTTTCATTCAAAGTGTCACATTTAGAAAACAATTGTTTGGTTTTGATTAAACTTTAAACCAAGGAAAATAACGTGCTAAGGTTTTACTGTCTCTATATGTCTGGTGCTAAGGTTTTACTGTCTATATATGTCCTGTGCTAGTGTTTTACTGTCTATATATGTCCGGTGCTAAGGTTTTACTGTCTATATATGTCCGGTGCTAAGGTTTTACTGTCCGGTGCTAAGGTTTTACTGTCTCTATATGTCCGGTGCTAAGGTTTTACTGTCTATATATGTCCGGTGCTAAGGTTTTACTGTCCGGTGCTAAGGTTTTACTGTCTAAATATGTCTGGTGCTAGTGTTTAACTGTCCGGTGCTAGTGTTTAACTGTCTATATATGGCCGGTGCTAAGGTTTTACTGTCTATATATGTCCGGTGCTAGTGTTTAACTGTCTATATATGTCTGGTGCTGGTGTTTTACTGTCTATATAATTATGTCCGGTGTTAGAGTTTTACTGTCTATATATGTCAGGTGGTAGCGTTTACTGTCTATATATATCCGGTGCTAAGGTTTTACTGTCTATATATGTCCGGTGCTAGTGTTTTGATGTCCGGTACTAGTGTTTTAATGTCTATATATGTCCGGTTCTAGTGTTTTATTGTCTATATATGTCCGTTGCTAAGGTTTTACTGTCCGGTTCTAGTGTTTTACTGTCTATATATGTCTGGTGCTAGGGTTTTACTGTCCATATATGTCTGGTACGTGCTAAGGTTTTACTGTCTATATATGTCCGGTGCTAGTGTTTTACTGTCCGGTGCTAGTGTTTTATTGTCTATATATGTCCGGTTCTAGTGTTTTACTGTCTATATATGTCCGGTGCTAAGGTTTTACTGTCCGGTTCTCGTGTTTTACTGTCTATATATGTCTGGTGCTAGGGTTTTACTGTCTATATATGTCTGTTGCTAAGGTTTTACTGTCTATATATGTCCAGTGCTAAGGTTTTACTGTCTCTATATGTCCGGTGCTAAGGTTTTACTGTCTATATATGTCAGGTGGTAGCGTTTACTATCTAAATATATCCGGTGCTAAGGTTTTACTGTCTATATATGTCCGGTGCTAGTGTTTTACTGTCCGGTGCTAGTGTTTTATTGTCTATATATGTCCGGTTCTAGTGTTTTATTGTCTATATATGTCCGGTGCTAAGGTTTTACTGTCCGGTTCTAGTGTTTTACTGTCTATATATGTCTGGTGCTAGGGTTTTACTGTCTATATATGTCCGGTGCTAGGGTTTTACTGTCCATATATGTCTGGTGCTAAGGTTTTACTGTCTATATATGTCCGGTGCTAGTGTTTTACTGTCCGGTGCTAGTGTCTTATTGTCTATATATGTCCGGTTCTAGTGTTTTATTGTCTATAAATGTCCGGTGCTAAGGTTTTACTGTCCATATATGTCTGGTGCTAAGGTTTTGCTGTCTATATATGTCCGGTGCTAGTGTTTTACTGTCCGGTGCTAGTGTCTTATTGTCTATATATGTCCGGTTCTAGTGTTTTATTGTCTATAAATGTCCGGTGCTAAGGTTTTACTGTCCATATATGTCTGGTGCTAATGTTTTACTGTCTATATATGTCCGGTGCTAAGGTTTTACTGTCTATATATGTCTGGTGCTAAGTTTTTACTGTCTCTATATGTCCGGTGCTAAGGTTTTACTGTCTATATATGTACGGTGCTAAGGTTTTACTGTCTATACATGTCCGGTGCTAATGTTGTACTGTCTATATATGCCCAGTGTTAATGTTGTACTGTCTGTATGTGCCTGGTGCTAGTGTTATACTGTCTATATATGTCTGGTGCTAGTGTTGTACTGTCTTTATATGCCTGATGCAAGTGTTGTACTGTCTGTATATGAATATACCCGGTGCTAGTGTTGTACTGTCTGTACATGTATATGCTTGGTGCTAATGTTGTATTGTCTTAATATGAAAAGGCGCCAGTGTTCTATTCTGTATATATTCCTGGTGCTTGTGTTGTACTTCTTTACATGCCAGGTGCTAGTGTTGTAATGTCATATATGCCTGGTGTTATTATTTTACTGTCTATCCATAGGTGGTGGGCACGTCTATCAAAAAAAATTAAAAAAAATGAATATATAAAAATAAAAAAATGAATGTTCTAGTTTTATATATTCATTTTTTTTATTTTTTTTTGATAGACGTGCCCACCAACTATGGCTATGGTCTATCTTATGCCAGTGCTAGTGTTGTACTGTTTATATATGCCATACTTTGTCTTTCAATAAAATACACGTTTGAATGTCCATCAAGACCCCTATAAAATGAACAAAATTAAGCAATTAAATAAATTAATGTCTTTCAGGCTTACCGGCGTTAAAATGCAGTAGGGAATAGGCCTAAGGATTATGGCTTGTCTGCATGAGGCATTCGTTACTCCTCTTATTTTTCTTTGAATATTGTATTCCGAATGATTTTATATAAAGCCGCCATATTGGATTTTTAGAGTTACGTACCTTAAATCGGAGTAAAGACACTTCCGGTTTCCCATTACAAACGTGTACACGATACTGGCCTTATCTGTTATCAGGGACGCTGTTCTCTAAAATTCAGAATGTAGAAGTTGTTTGTTGTTATAATTAGTAACGATAGGATGTTTTCTGTGATGTGTTACAGATTAGTGGTCATCAGACATTGCAATCGTCCATGTATAACAGTTTATTTGTCTGTATGCCATAGCCTAGGATTTGTTTATGGTTGGGTCATACATAATACTATATTATTATATATTAAAACCTGACCACGCAATATACATAAAAATTGTCTGGTCTTAAGGAGCTAGGTGCACATTAGTTTTTTTTTATTACTGCCGCGTGTTCAATCGTTTTGGCTAATTTGAACGCCTTCTTGGTTCTTGGAAATTCTTTAAATAAAATTACAATCTCTGTTGTTTTGTTCATCCTGATGTCTTCGCCACACACGCCCACCCATACCCCATGGTCTGTGTCCTATACTCATTGAGTTGGTGTACATTGTGACCAAAATAGGCAGTACTTGATTGTTGCCTATATTGAATGATAGTACACCTCTTTCATCCAATTATTGGTAAAATACTCGGGCATTTCCTGTTTTTTATGAGTTTAAATACTTCTAAGCATTTGGGTGTTCCGCTGCTACCACAAAAAAAAACTTTTTTTAGTCACGGAGGTATATGGGCGGCCATTGGCATAAACTCTACAAACCATCCTTTACATAACTTAACCAATCACCAATAAATCCCTGTACTTTCTTGTGGTCACCCTCAAAATTAAGCCTCTTCAACCGACAACAAGCGTCGCCAAACAGAAGTATGGGGATTCCATAAAGGCCCCGACATCGAAAAACTACATGTAGATTATTGTAAAAGGTTGCTAGGTGTGGCAAATCCACTCCGAATGTGATGGTATATTTCGAATTTAGGCCGTTATCCATTGCATGTAACAAGGAAACTAAAAATATTTAAATATTGGTTTAAATTGCTCAATACCGAAAACTGTATTTTGAAATCCTGTTATGAAAATATGCTGCTAATCAAGGATCCATGGGTCTGTGAAATAAAAGATGAATTGTATCGTTTAGGCTTAGGATATATCTGGGACGCACAGAATGGAAACAATTTCACTTTTTTAATTATTAAGGCAAGATTATTTGACATTTTTAATCAAGAGGGATATAGTTTAATTACAGGTATGTCTAAAGGTATGCTTTACAGAGAATTAAACAGTACAATTTTACTACAATCGTATCTAACAAAATCAGTTAATATCGGTTATATGAAAGAAATTGCTCGACTTAGGCTGTCAGCTCACAAATTAAACATTGAATCTGGACGTTATGTTGGCACTGTTAGAACTAATAGATTATGTACAAAGTGTAATCTTAATGACATAGAAGACGAGTTTCATTTTGTTTTAGTTTGCACAAGATATACAGATTTAAGACGGAAGTATTTAAAATGTTACTATAGAAATAACCCTAGTGTATATAAGCTTGTTCAATTACTTAATACACAGAATATTAAAGAATTATGTAATCTTGGAAAGTATCTGATAGCGGCAAATAAGCGCCGATCAGATATATGACAGTTTGTATGTGTGTATTGTTCATTCTCCTGTGACCAATGTGGCTTTTTGTACATATGTAAATATCCTGTTTAATATATGTTTACACTGATAAGTCGCAAGACTTAAAGTTAAAAGAACTTGAACACCCAAACAAAATCTTAAAAGATATCGAATGAAGTAAGCGTCATCAGAAGATGTGTTGCTTACACCAAATTTCAATTAGATAATTGAAATATTTACTGAGTTATGATGAATTGAATTTTACGATCGTCGACGTGGCACATGTTTGCGTTAACCTGTACAGTTAACAACACGTCGCCAGACAAAATCATTGAAAATGCTTAATAAAGTAAATAAAATCAGAATATATGTTATTTATATGACTTGAATGTACCTATATACCAAGATATTTGAAAAAATTACCGAGCTATGATGAATTGAATTTTTACTCTCTGTGGCGTGGTACACGTGTGTGAATAGAACTCTACAGATCGTGAAGCGTTTGCAAACTAATCCCCGTCTATAGCTCTTAATTAATTCAAAAAGTGTACATGTATGTAGGACTTCGATCGTATAAGCTGAACACGGTCAGCCCGGATCATATTGCTGTATAAGCATTGCTTCACTGACTTGCTGTGATGGCATAATCAATTACGTTGACAATTATATTACTTTATATTTAAACATTTGCACCAGAATAAATACGTTTTGATTTTTACTTAAATTAACATATATAACTTAGTCTTTTTATTGAGCAGTATAGTAAACAGTCGGTTTGGAGGGGGTGCATTATTTACGAGTTTCTAGGCACTTATGAGAAAGATGGTCAAGGGCGGATCTAGGCCCGGCGCGCCGGACGCGCGCCCCCCCGTTTGGAAAATCCATCTTTATATTATATATATATAAAAATAAATAGCGCTGATAAATTGCAATAATAATTTGTATGAGAAAAATATTGATAATATAATTTAGATTAAATATCTAAAGAACCCGAGTCGAGCGTGATTTTGCTGATTGACTGTACGGTACCCTATACCAATCCAGTATGGGTTATATATTACCGTTACTTATAGTCAGTTTACTATGTTTTCTGAAATTCCAAATTTATAAACTGGCATTGAGAACGGAATTATAATAGAAATTTTGCATCCGTTTTTTAAAAAGTTGAAGAGCGGTCATCTTTGAGTGCAGATAGGTTTGCCATGGTATGATAATTGTAGGTCACTGTTTTATGTTGATTCTCCTTTTACTTTGTACTTTCGATCATTACACTCAAATCCAAATAACAAATCCCCCACATCGGATGATCCTTCATGAATGATTATCCTTGGGT